ATGCCATTTTATGTTTTTTAAGCACGTGATCATACATGTTAAGTTAGGGCTTCGAATAGGTTACTCAATTATTGCATAGCTAAAAGGTAATCTGCAAATTTTGAACCAGGACTTAGGGAGAAATCCCGCACTCAAACATCATTTTCCCTTTATTCGTATCTCCCAACCGAATCTAATACAATAATAAACAATGTTTTTATCTCAGCTCTTGAAATTTAACTCTAAACAAATCCTCACAAAATTATCCGACTATGCAACTTGGTCTACGTTTATACCCATATACCTTGTACTTTTAAGATTTGTTATTGCTATTTCAACTTTCATTCGAGTAATTACATAATGTTCTGTTGTCAATAAGAAATTTATTGTTTGCTTTAGTGTAAACATGACGAATACCATGTAAGTTATATTCTATGTTTAAGGAAAATAACGATTATTTTGAATTATAATCTTTGGACACAACTATAAATTAGGTTAAACTCGTGTTTTCCTTCATGTAAGAGTTATCTCGGAAAGTTAAGTGCCAACAATGGTGTAAGCACGTCACAATCATGGGAACAGACTACTTTGGAAAGTGTGCTCTGAATTAATTATTGAGTTAATTATACACCTATTGTTAATACTTTCTCTGTCAGGTTCAAGGTTCTAAACATTATACCAACATAGAAATGGTACAGTAGTAGAAAATATAATTTTAAAACCTTCGTTTAGCTTTCATTTGCTTGCCAAAAGAGATAACGTTGATTTAGTTCACGATAATTATTGTGATTCCTACACTCACCCTTCATTCATTTTTTTGGACCTTGGTGTGTTTAGGTGAAAGTTATTATGTTCTAATTTTTGAAAATAGCATTAAGAGTAAACAACTGTATCCGAGATTCCTTTGTCTGTGATTCGATTAAATTGAAAACTATTCCTCTTGACTTTGCAATGTGCACTCCAAAATAAACCAATCCCAGGTAGCAATGCTTGACCCGATCCACTTAACTGCTCTCTACATTTAGAGGGTGTTTAAATTCGTCAGTAGCAAAATTAATACTGTCAAGATAATACGAAATTATAAACACTTAAGCTTCAAGCTCCCTTTTATTATTATTATTATTATTATTATTATTTTACCAATTACATATTACATTAAAAAATCAAATCACACGCTTTTAATTTATTTCCAATCATGCTGTATTTAGATAACAAGTTTTGTTCACAAAAACCTTTTATTCAGTTTTATTCCCTTGTTACGGTAAATGCATATACAGGGAGAATCAAAAGTGAAGACCCCCAACTAATATTTTTCTAAGTGGATATACAGAGATATCCTTTTGGCAGTCATTAAATCTTAGCAGGAATTTTCATTTTATGATTTTGCAAATTTTGAGTGTCCCCCAAAAATGGTGGACTTGGGGGGCAACTCAAAATTTTTGTTCCATAGCGAACCTGCAAGATCGGGTCATGGAAACGGGATGCTACGGGGTTTTAACGTTTTTAAAAAAAGGGTTTCCCCCTTAGAACATGAAAATGTAAAATCTTTATTACAACCAACGTGTAGGGCTTAAAAACAATTGTGTTATAGCATTGATGTATAATTAAAGGCACGGAGAAAAAAGTATACATATAATTATCATGTTTTATAGAGAAAAAGAAAACTTATAGTTTCCTTGTTGATGGATATTGTTGTGGATGTTATTTTAGTCAAATTAGTAAAATGTATTTATTTTATACTCAACTATTACCACCATTTCACCAAAAAACATTATTACATTCCCTGTATCATCAAAGCTAAGTACAGTACTCATTAAACTAATGTTGTTTGGATAAGGAATAAATCTGAAATTTTTAATGAGATATTTTATTCAAATATGAAAAACCAATCAGGCAAATGGAAATTCGATTTGTCCGCAGGTTCGCTGCAGCGGGAATATTTTTACATTAGAGTTTCTATTCAGAAACTATCATAATATTTTTGCAAAATCAATTTGTAGTTATGAAAATACAGTTGAATCATACTGTTGACCTATCAAATGTAATTTTTATTATATTTTTTTAATATCCCGCCATCACACCATAGGACGCTAGTTCTAGCCCGGAACTGTTTTTCACATTACTTCAGTCTAGTCCTAGATCTATGTGGCATTATTACTTAGATAAAATCCATTGGTGATTTGGCAGGATTTTAACCTTGGGCACCACAGCACGCTCTAACACTAGACCCACTCGCATCTCATATCGTATATATTTATTGATACAATGATACATCATTGCATATATGTAATAATTTAATTTAAAATCACAATGAACTATTTTAAAAGGTAATTTATGCCCGAATGTTTTTCTTCACAATCCTGTTTGGTACTCCAATCGATATATCGATGGGTGCTCCAACCCTAAAACATTAATCTTTTCGCGATCCTTTATTCCTCCTGTAAAGGTATCCTGTTGATTCACATTGAACACATTTTATTATTTACACAACTATTAAACGAGCATTTGTATATCATTATATAAGTACTATACTATACAAACTCAATTTTTGTTAACAAACTATTACAATGTTTGTGCAAATTCAATTTTTAGGTACCTATAGCCATAAAGTTCAAGATGACGTAATCTTTTTATGAGAAACCTGCATTTTAATTTAAACCACTTCAACGAAAATTTACAGTTATTATCTGTGAGTTGAGTTTTACCACCCTCATAATGTAAAATTCATTGAAATACAAGGAGTTTCAGTTTACGTTAGACACTCCCTTCTCCCTTCCAAATATGCTATTTCATTATTAATGAGAGTATGTAATATAATACTACTAACCCTCCTCACTCCTTATAATTTAGGATAATCTAACACAACAGTAACGATTCAAAGGGGTTAATAACACAACGATCTCTATGTCCCTGTGCACAGTGGCAGTATAATGAAGAGTTCCAGTCCTGTGGTTCTAGTCTTGGTTGTTTTGTTTTGTTCGGTCCAGTGACCTTCGTTCCTCGGGCTCTTTGTTGTGACGAGTCAAAATTTCTTCTCGTTCCGTCGTTCCCTGTCAGAGACGCATATGTGACCAAGTTCGTCACCCCACGGGCTACATTCCCCGATCTTTTTAATTTAGTGATAATGTTTAAGTGATGCCATTGACTTTTGGATTCTGAAGTATACATATAAATGGACATGTTGTCGATGTTTTTATTCAAATAAAACATAATTAATCCTCTACTAATAACAGAATGTATTTTCTCCTTTACTTTTTGTTAATATAATTTATGTGACAAAAAATATGCTAAATTTTATTTTTGTATTATTTATGCTACGACCATTTTTTACGTAAAAGAATGTGATGTCACTAACGTCAATAATTTTATTACACAAAATGATTGAATCGAACGAGAGGCTGTCACATTTGAAGTTTAGCACTATAACCACTTGGCTACCCAAATAAATAATACATATATTATAGTTTACTACTATATTAACTAACTGTAGCCCATTTTTTATTCAAATGGATGATATGATGATACACTAACAAGAGAGTTCACTACTTCATTGTTGTCAAAATTACAG